TCCTCCTCTTCCTCCTCCTCCTCCTCCTCCTCGTCCTCCTCGTCCTCTTCCTCCTCCTCCACTGACCACGGTTTTTTTTTCCCGTCCAGTGGGACCCTGCTCTCAGCCGCTCGCTCTCCACACTCAGAGGTCATGAAGGGGTCATCTACAGCACCATTTGGTCGCCTCACATCCCAGGATGCTTTGCTTCAGCCTCAGGTGAGCCCTCCCTCAGCCTGTGGACTGTAAATAAAGTGGATGACATGACGGCTCCCTGCGATGCTGAGACTCCACCCATGAGCAGGATGAAGGATGTAAATGATGTTCGTCTCAGAACCTGAGTTCATCATGTTCTGTTGTTGTGATGAGTAACGTCACCACAGGGGGGCAGTGTTGCAGTACTTTACTTCTTGAGTCTCCTGCTGGAGAGACTCATCTGTCAATCATCAGTATGATGTCCGACGGGGGGGCAGTAGTCTGTCTGTTTGAATGGAGAACATGAATGAAGCTTCATCTGGTTACTATGGTAACATCATGATGGCATCACGAGCAGCATCAGCACCTTCAGGCACAGTACTCCACAGTACTACAGTAGTACTACAGTATTACAGTACCACAGTACTACAGTACTACAGTACACTACAGTACTACAGTACTCCACACTAGTTCAGATGCAGTAAATGAACGTCCTCGTGGTTCAAACATTTTATCGTCGGAGGAGAAGACTGCAGCTGCTTCTTCTTCTTCTTCCTCCTCCTCTTCTTCTTCTTCCTCCTCTTCTTCTTCTTCTTCTTCTTCCTGGTGCACCATCACCAGGAAAACTTTTAGCTCCTCCTCTTCCTCTCCTCGTCTCTGTGGACAAAGTGAGTTTCAGGAATCTGTTGGTACCCGGAGGCGGAGCAGGGATTATCTTTAAAAGCGGGCGCTGCCTTTATCAGAGGGGCGGGGCCCTGGTGGTGATGGATGTGCGTTTCGTCAGCTCTGTGATCAGATAGTCGAGCGGCGGTCTTCGGCGCGGTATCGCTGTGCGGAGCGAACTCCAACTCTGATGAGTTTTGTGTTAATTGGTTAGTGAGAGCGAGCAGAAGTCGTGATGAGGTTTTATCAGCAGATGAGACGCTCCTGTTGCTTCAAGCAGTTTTTACTCTGGATCATCAATCAGATCAATTCAATCACAAATCTTTCAGCATTGACTCAAAGATTCTTTGTTCAAAGTTTCCAGAGTCGATGAAAGAGGCAGAAACAATTCATCCATTCTCCATCATGTTGCAACAGACTGTTTAGTTTTTATGTTTCTTTTGCGTTTGTTTGTGCGTCTGAACCAAAGATGGACGACGTGTCCGATTCCAAAAGTGAAGCTGAAGCTTTTCACTGCTCTGGTTTAAGATCTGGAGAAATCCCCTCAAGACACATTTGAGATTTCTTGTTCAAAGAGGCCGAGAGCCTGATGAGTGAGGTCACTGTGACCTCAGACGACCACTGAAGCTCAGGACTCAACACACGAGACAGAAACTGTTCTTTCACGTCATCTGGACAGAGACCGGATCCGAGGACAGGAGGAAGAACCAGATCGGAGGTGAAGCAGCTGCGTCAGTTTAACGTGCACAGACACACTCTGCGTTCTGGTCGAGGTCAGCGCTCAGTAAATGATTTAGCTGAGCTGCACTGGACGACTTATCAGATCAACTGAGCTCTGTCACGTAACACTGCAACTACACTTTGATTCAAATCAGCCTTTACTGACGAGGTTGTGTTGATTTATCACATTTAAACGTCCAGGATTCTTGTGTCGAGAAAGAATAATTGAAGATAAGCTGAAGAGGAGCTGCTGTGTTTGTGGACGTGTCCGGTTGACGAGTGTTTAACTGTCGCAGCCTGAGGTGAAGCCTCCTGACGAACTAATGACCCTGTGAGTTTCAATCCCGCACAATTAACTCCGATCCACTTCAGTCGTTTATCTTGTTTTTTTTCTACTTCCTGTGTCTCCCTCATTTGTTTCCTCCTTTTCTTTTTCTCCCTCCCCTGAAGGCTCAATCTGAATGTACTGTCAGAGCTGCTCCAGGTCAGACAGAAAGAGAACGATGGGTTTGACTCTGGTCGTTTCACTGCAGATCAGAAAAGAGAGAAGTGTTGGTGAGAAGGAGCCGAACGTTCCACTCGTCTTTCCTGTGAAGATCTCGTCGTTCTTTCTCGATGGACGTTAGTTTCTCTTGATTCACGTCATGTCGCTCCTCTCAAGGAAAGTTTCATCAGTGATGGATCTGCACCGACCGCCCACGGCAACTTCATAGAATCTTGATTCAGTGAAGTCTCATTAATAACGATGTTGTGTGAAGAACATTTCAGGATTTATTTAATCAATACTGCTTGAGAGCAGGAGGAGCAGGAGGAGCAGGAGGAGGCAGAAGCAGTTTCCTCTCGTCTCCTGCTGACGCTGGAGGTGATGATCTTCTGTGGCACTGGACCAAACTGCAGGGAAGGAGAAGAGAGGGATGAGAGGGAGGAGGGGAAACTCCAGAAGATGTGAGGAGGAGGAGGAGAGGCAGCGAGGAGCATGGGAAACCCTGATAAGCTTATCAGAATGAGACCCCCACCCACACACACACAGACACACACATACACACAGACACACACACACACACAGACACACTCACAGACACACACACACACACACACACACACGTTTTAATCGTTACA